CTAGAAAATATCTGTGGAACAAACTGGCATTTGGTTGGCAACTCCTGCTTGAAAATTACAAACGCGAAGGAGAACTATGACCATGCCAAACTGTCCTGCAGATCCAACGGGGCTTTGCTGGCTTCTCTCACAACCCAGAAAAAGGTAGAATTTGTCGTAAAGGAGCTGCAGAAGATGCAGTCTTCGGTGAGTGCTTCTCTTTTATGTCCCCTGAGTAATTAAGCTCTGACTGTGGAATAGTCCTTGCTGTGGTATTGTGTGCTCTGTACAGAACAGACATGCCTCTTAACTGAAAAGGACTGATTTTTCTTTTGAAATTCAACATACCCTATGGGTGCTTTTGAAGTGAAATTGTAGAGAATGTAAATGGGAAAGATAAATATAAACATACAGGGTGCCTCAAAGGTATCGCTTTCTATAATGAAATCACACACACATTTCTCTTGTGGGATACACGACTGCAGCAGGAGTCCTCTTGTGACTTGTACACAATATTTTATAAATAAAGGTCCCTTTGGGGCACCGGAGATGTTTAATGTAAAGCATTTAAAGTTATTTATTCCGCTGAGAAAAGCGGCTGTTTAAAATATTGGCTTCTTAACTCTGTAGAGCTGCTTGGCTTATTTGGAGTTATTTGTGTTTGATTTAGTGGCAGGTGCTTTTCTGTCAGAGATGGTGAGAAGTGAATTGGAATCTGTCCTTCTTCATGCATTAGTGAAATCAATATTTTTTTTTTTTTTTTTCCCAGTCCCTGCAGAAGCGTGGAGGTATTCAGGGCAGGTTGTGTAGGTGGTGCTAAAGCCCTAACAAAGAACGATGCTGTGCAGCTTTGCTGGAAGCTGAGTTTCGGCTGCAGAGCTGCTGTGACTTGACAGCACATCAGAGTAACTCCTCTTGGGTCCCAGAGGCCACTGTGGGCAGAGCTGGCAGTCAGCGAGAGTTTTATGTAGCAAAAAATGAGACTGGAGGCAGTAGGATTCCTATTTTTCAGAGGAGAAGGTACTTCAGTACTAAAGAAAAATATTCCCCTGTCAAAACAAGAACATTTCCTGCTGTAATTCCCTTTGTAATTTTTAAGTGACATTTCGACAATTACAGGGGTTTAGAGGGGATTCAGTTTAGCCAAGATCAGGTAAGGTGTAATTCAAATGAGATTGTTTGTTAAATCTTTTGTAAAGAGAGAAAGCCAAGCCCGGGATATTGTAAAAATACATAGTTCGAACAGCTCCAGGTGTTTCTGGATATCCCAGTGGTTAAGTGCAGCGTGAATTCCTAAAGACACATGGCAACCCTTCCCTAATAGTGCTTGAACCCTTACACTGGGGAGAACAAAAAAAACTAATCTACTTTTTTTGTTTCTCCTACAGTATCATTTAAGAAGTGAGCCTTAGAAATCTGAAGAAACTATTAGCCCTTTTCAGTGGATATTAGTATTGAGTAATTGCAATGTGTGAGAATGCCTTTGCTAAAAAGCCAACCTGTATCTGCTGCTTGAACTTTTGCCATTTGATGTCATGCTGCTGCTGTGCTGGAGGAGGCTGTGCTTTACAGTTACTCCTTTTTTTAAGTAAGCTGTGTATAGATGTTTTGTAATAATGAGAAAACACGTTGATGTTGGCGCATAGCGCTGTGTGTCCTTGTTGCTGTTAGAAGTTGAAGCTCTGAGGTTTAAGAGTGCATCAAATCAGTTTGAAGTAGGTGATGGTTATATATAGCAGTAAGGGAAGATGTGTCTAAAGCTTTCCTAGGACAGCTGTGCCACCAAAGCACTTTGATGGGGAAAAGATTTTAACAGTAATATAACATAGTGTACCAATACAGTTAAAATCCTAGAATCCTGGAATGGTTTGGGTTGGAAAGGACCTGAAAAATCATCTAGTTCCAGCCCCCCTGCCATGGGCAGGGACACCTTCCACTACACCAGGTGGCTCAAAGCCTCATCCAACCTGACCTTGAACACTTCCAGGGATGGGGCAGCCACAGCTTCTCTGGGCAACTTCTTCCAGTGCCTCACCACCCTCAGAGTGAAAAATTTCTTCCTTAGATCTAATCTAAATCTCCCCTCTTTCAGTTTAAAGCCATTGCCCCTGCCTTATCACTACACACCCTGTCAAAAGGCCCTCTCCAGCTTTCTTGTAGTCCCTTTAGGTACTGGAAGGCCTCCCCGGAGCCTTCTCTTCTCCAGGCTGAACAACCCCAACTCTCTCAGCCTGTCTCCATAGCAGAGGTGCTCCAGCCCTCGGATCATCTTTGTGGACCTACTCTGGACTTGTTCCAATGACTCCATGTCTTTCTTATGCTGGAGGCCCCAGAGGAGGTGGGGTCTCATGACAGCAAGAGAAAATCCCTTCTTCCCAAAACAAAAAGTGTGCCAAAAATTAAATTGCCTGTAGAAATAGTTGTATAATGGGTTCTTTGTATTGAGAATTTTGTACTAATTTACATTTGACCTGCTCTGTCTCTGCCTCTCCATATATACACTCTTAAACAGCAGGGCCAGACTGTAGAGAAGGTAGATTGTATCATTTAAATTGTATAGAGAACTGCTAGTTTTCTTTTCATGTCAAACTGTAGCTGATTTTTTTTCCTTTGCCTAGCCATTTATTGGAGTCACAAACATGTAAAGAGCAACTTGCAGATAATTTCGTAGTCAGCCAGTGTGACTGTTTGACTTGCTCTCCTCCTGGTTTAGATAACTCAAAATGCACTTTGGAAAAAAAAAAAAAAATTAGTGCTTCCTGAAGGATATTTCTATCTCTGTGACATTTAATTCTGAAAAATAAATATTTCCCTTTTTACATTTTTGCAACACCCAACCTAGCAAAGTTGTTATGAGCACTACCATTTTCCTTTATTTCTAGCCTAAAACTTTGACTCCGTGGGTTGGACTGAGGAAAATCAACGTGTCATATTGGTGCTGGGAAGACATGTCTCCCTTCACCAACACCCTGCTCCAGTGGCTCCCTGACGAACCAAGCGACGCTGGATTTTGTGGTTATTTAGCCGAACCTTTCCAGCAGGGACTGAAGGCAGCAACATGTATCAACGAAGTCAACGGCAGCGTCTGCGAAAGGCCAGGTAACGAGGTCTGGCTTGTGTGTCTCATGGGAGCAGGTCGACCAACAAGTATTTATATTTCCTAGAGGGTAAAGAGGATCCTATTCATTACGTTTAAAATGATAGGACAAGGGGCAATGGCTTTAAACTGAAAGAGGGGATATTTAGATTAGATCTAAGGAAGAAATTTTTCACTCTGAGAGTGGTGAGGCACTGGACCAGGTTGCCCAGAGAAGCTGTAGCTGCCCCATCCCTGGAAGTGTTCAAAGCCAGGTTGGATGAGACTTTGAGCAACCTGATCTAGTGGAAGGTGTCCCTGCCCATGGCATGGGTGTTGGAACTAGATATCTTTGAGGTCCCTTCCAACCCAAACCAGTATATGATTCTATGACTTTTGCCAAAGAAAAGGTGTGTTGAAAAAGTGTCATGTGTAGTGATTTCATACAGGAATTGGAGATTCTAAAAATAGGTCTATGCTTACGCTGTTAACTGTAAAATACTCAAAGTACATTGTAGTATAATTATTTTTCTCTAAATTGCATACCTGAATGTGACATTTAGGTTAATTATGATATGGAGCCATCTCTTGTTTAAAAAAAATAAAATTAAAAATTAAAAACTGCTTTCCAGTTGAATGCCACCCCTCCTTCTCCCCCTGGCCCCTTTCTCCCCTCCCCTCCTCTGTAGCCAGAGGAGGATTTTATCAAAGTTTGAAATTAATTGGGCAAGACACTTTGGAGATATGAGAACTTTGAAAAAGAAGCTGTTTGCTTTTGGGAAAAGTCTTCCAGCTTTGTTGGAACTGCATATCTTTTCAAATGGTTTGGTCTGTTAACTCTCCATTATAGCTGATTAGTTCTGAATACCAATTAGTGCCTTTTTAAGTTTTAAGAAAGTTGGCTGATCACATAAAATTTCTAAGTAAGCTACACCACTTCAGATCGTTCTTTGTGGACGTGCAGGATGCAGATCATTAATGTGGAACCTGAACCAAAAATTTTGTATATTTTAGCTTGCAGCACTTTGAATTGGTTTAAGCTTTAACTTGTTTTTTTTTTACGGTCTGAGAACAGTCACTTGAAACAGGTGATAAAACATTGACTCACACCAGAAACTCCTGAGTTAGTTCTGCTTTTGATACTCATTTTAGGTGTGGAACTGATCAAATAACTTAAAACACGTCCCAGTGTGCTCACATGAAACGTGGGGTTTCTTCCCAGGGCTTTGGTGGGGGGAACAGCTAAAGAACACATCAACAGACCTGCAGAGAGATAAAAAACCCATGTTCGTAACACCATTTAAATTGTTCTTAAGGGGAATTTTTTGACTCCCTTGTCCCCCTGCCCGCAGCGAACCACAGTGCCAAGCAGTGCCGCACGCCCTGCGCCCTGCGCACCGTGTGCGGGGAGTGCACCAGCGGCAGCTCCGAGTGCATGTGGTGCAGCAACATGAAGCAGTGCGTGGACTCCAACGCTTACGTGGCCTCTTTTCCCTACGGGCAGTGCATGGAGTGGTACACCATGAGCAGTTGTCCGCGTGAGTAAATTGCTTCTGCGCCTCCACGGGTGGGTTGGGGTCTCATGTTTGCTGATGTTCAATAGCAAAAGTCATCAAACTCTGCACACCAGTTACAATAAAAATCCCCCGGACACAGGTGACAGGTATCTGACCACAAGAGCTTCATGTGGGCAGTTCAGTCCTGTGTCATGGACAGAATTGGGTCCTGGTTATGGGAACTATCAGTTAAGCTAAGTGGCAGATAGTGAAAGCTTTCAAGTGAAATGATGAAATCTCTGCTTTTTTTTTTCTTCCCGATGGAGGAGGGTTTGTTTCATTATTGGAACTCCTAGCCTTCAAATTAATTGTTACATAATTTCATGTGATTAACTTCTTTTTGTATCTCTTCTGTATCTTTTATTCATATATGAATCCCTGTAATTTAATATTAGATTATCAAATCCAAATTAGAGTTTACACCAGTGTTCTATTCTGAAGTATTGTCTACATACAGCCCACAGTAGGAATTTCTAACTGATTTTGAATAAATAATTTATTTTTACCCCTTTTAGATAGATGTGAGTGAACTGCAAAAGATTTATGGTGCTTTGGAATGTTGCTTTCTGTTTTCAGACTCTGAGGAAATAGTCCAGAAGTCTCAAAAGTAGTTGAACAGTTCTCAAAATTATTTTTATTTATGTTGAATTCTTTAGGAGCTGAGCGTGAGCAGGGGAGTCAGGAAAGCCAGGGTTGGCAGAGGGTGAGAAGTGCCTGTGTTCCCCTGGAGGGAAGTTGGGCAGTTTGAGTTGCTGTAGTGGCACCAGGAACTTTTGGAAGTTGATGAGAATAAGCTGGGTAGCTCGTTGTTACAAAATAAGAGATGGAGAAAATTAATTTCAGGTAACTGTCAGACATGACAGTGTGAACTTCCCATATTGCCAGAAGTCAAAAATTGGAGGAAGCATCGGGTGCGAGATGAATAGGCTGAAATAATGGAAAGCAATGTTTTTCTACTACTTTTTTTTTTTTAAAAAGGAAAAACACTATCAATTTAAACATCAGGATAGAAAGCCTGCTCATCTTAGAACACCAAGAATCTACAAAATATTTTTTTCAGATGGTATTGAGGAAGGAGTAGAAAATGTTTCCTAGATGTAAAGAGTTTGTCACCTCTGAAATACAATCCCATTTGAGAAAGAAACAGTTGAAGGGTGGCGATGGTTTTTCCCTGAGATAGTTGATTGCTGGGGCCAGCCGATCTGCATGTGGCCCTCTGAGCATCCTAAGAAGGCATATTCTATTCTGTGTTTGTATTCTGTGCTTTTTCGCTCGGATAAATACTTCAAATAGTAGCATGTGATATTAAAATATGTGTTAAGAAGTGACTCTAAGCGAGTAAACAAACTGATTTTTTGCCTTTGCTTCCAGATGGCTCATTTTATATTCTGATCCATTGTGAATCTAGAGATCTTTTGTAGTTGGAAACATGAACTTCTGGTTTTAGTGGGTGGTGTTAAATGGTTAGAAAAGCTTCACGTGTATTGTGTTGTTTCCTAACTCACTCACTGATTAATTCAACCTTTGGATTAATAGTCATCTTAGATTCTAGAACAAATATGCTGATAGGAATGAATATATATAAGTGTTACTGTGAATATTGAATAAATATTTACTAATTTAGCAAGATAAATACTTAAGGTCACAGAAAATGTTCAAGGATTTCTGCTTTCATTGTCACCTGTGTTTTGGGACAGTGATTTGTTCCACGGTTTGATGGTTTTGGGTTTTTTTCATAGCCGAAAACTGTTCAGGCTACTGCACGTGCGCTCACTGTTTGGAGCAGCCCGGCTGCGGCTGGTGCACCGATCCGAGCAACACGGGCAAGGGGAAGTGCATCGAAGGCTCCTTCAGGGGTCCGGTCAAGATGCCAACTCCATCTGCAACAGGGAAGCACAGCTTGGAGCCCGTCCTTAACGTCAGCATGTGTCCTGTGGAGAGCAACTATAACTGGTCCTTTATTCAGTGTCCAGGTAAACGAGCAGCATTGAATTATTCGAACATTTCGACCATAGCAATAATTAAATGCAAAGGGAGAGACTTTTTCAGGCGATAGTGATGTCTGTGTTCCCTCCTGTTAATGGAGGGAGGAAAAGAGCTTGGCAGACAAACAAGAAATAACACGTTTTGAGATGGAAGGAGCTCTGCAGGTGAGCTGCAGAGGTTTGCTGCATGAAGACTTACCTATGCATTTCTCTAGTGAAGTTTTTCCTTTCTTTACAAACATTTTAGGAGTTTTTAAACATTTGTTTATTTATTCGTCTTAGGGTTGTTTGAAAGAAAGGCAGTTCTTTCTTTGAAGGTTGATTTAACTGTTAGTAATGCTCGGGGTGATTCTGAAATAATAGTTTCGACACCATATATGTAGAACAAAATTATTTGGACTGCTACTGCTGCTAAACCCTTTCTTCCCTGTTCCTCCTTGTAAATCCATCCCACCAGCTGCTTCCAGTCCTGTCTGTCCAATATGCACATAATATTTTGGGATTCAGTTTTCCATGTGTTGCTTCAAATGTCACATTTTCAATACACACCTCTCTCTGAGTTTGTGTATTGCTAGCAAGACTGCGAGAACCTCTTTGGAAGGTGCATGAAATGTCTTCATCAGTCTCTGCAGAACACAGACTTCTGAGGCTGTATGTGAAGCACTATATTTGAGCAGAAATACTCATCCTTTTCTGTTTTCTTCAGCCTGCCAGTGTAATGGGCACAGTAAGTGTGTAAACGAAAGCATCTGTGAGAAGTGTGAAAATCTGACGACTGGCAAACACTGTGAAACTTGTATCTCAGGCTACTACGGTGATCCTACTAATGGAGGAACATGTCAGCGTAAGTGATGCCTTAAATCTTCTTGTACTGAAGTCTTTGATGTTTTTCGCTCTTTACTCACTTCCTTTGCTGTCTTAACTGAAATTATATCCTGATAACGTGTTTTTTTCTTTCTTGCAAGCAAGGCACAATTCTTGTTTCTTCAAATCAAAGATACGGAAACTGCTTGATGAAATTCTTTGATTTTCATTGCATAAGATAAAGATTTTTTACTCTCCTTTGTAAACTTTAAATGACCGCAGTGAAAAACGTGTGGATTTTAATGTTTGACAATCATGATTTTAAAAGAAGCAGTGTTAATCCTAATGTCTTGAACAAATTTCTACTTAGCTAAATTCCACCTTCTATTACATTTGGTTAATATGTTGTGCGTTTATTGTTGTAATTGTTTCATATAAGGCTTCCGTATTTCGCTGAGGAGTTGGCTGGATTTCAGCTGAGGATTAGATCATCCCTGTTAAAAATGCATTTTAAGTTTGTAAAATGCTTTGAGACTCTTTGGTACAAAGAACTTTTTTCAGTTGTGCAAGATCCATTTAACAAACTGGGGAAAAAAAAAAAATCTTGAAGGACCACTACAGGTAGTATTGAGAAACAAACATGTAAGATTTGAAGTTTTGCCCTTGAACCTTGCTACATTACTCTGAATTATTGTGAATTTTGTAGTGTTGTGGCATGGAGAGACCAGTCGTAAACCAGAATCCAGTTGTGATAGGTGATATACAGACGTAAGGAAAGGTGCTTCTTGCTGTGAAGAGCTTTGATGGAATATAATTAGGTGGAGTTAACATCATTAGATACAGTGGTGGAAAAGATAGAACAGAAATAACATTGTTTGCTATCAGAGTAGTATCAGAACTTCCATGAAACGAGTGTGAGTGGTTTGTAGGCATCCCAGAAGAAATAAGTGAAGGTGATTACTGAGAGGACATTGAAGACTTTGAGTTCCTCCTTCCAAGTGTGGAGACAATCCAATAGAAAGTACTTGGAAATTCATTTAGTATATTTATTGGAAGTGACAATGACCTTTTGGATGAAGACGAGAGTCAGTAGGTGGAGCATGAGCATCCTGTTGCCTAAAGTAAGAGCAAGCTGGTGATGTCTGAGGCTATGAAGAACCACCTTCCAGCAGACAAATTCGAGGAAGGGGGTGAAAAGATCATAGAGAGGGACAAGGCTGCCTTACTTGGAGAAAAGGGTGTTGCAGTACCTGGGATATGAAATTATGACAGACAGCACAATGGCGCGGGTACAAAGGAGAAGGTACATCTCTGACACTTTATTTCAGAACATTATCTGCGAGATTAAATACCGCTGATATTCCTAAACTCATTTCGTGTGAAGATAATTTGAAGTGCAGGAGTGAATAAATTGAGACTGAGTTGGCCTGAGAAAACATATAATTCTACTCTGAGCATTCAGGTTTAATCATTGGATCACAACGTGCCTTTTGATATTTGTTGGTTTTCTGTGCGTGTGGAAATTGAGAGTAAGTAACTTTGGACTCTTTCGCATGGGGATTGTCCAAAAATAGTTTGTTGTTGAGATAATGAACGATAGACTAAAGTCATCCAGATGCCTGAAAAAGAAATTAGAAAATGTATTGAGAGACTGTGGAACAGCATTCATTCGTTATCTGATGAAACTAGTAGCTCATGTCAAAAGTGCTTTGCTCTCAAGTGCTTTGGGCCCAGGTTTTTAATTTGCTGTGATTCAACGCTGTTTACTGTGAAGGCGAAAGAATGAGGGAAGCAGGAAGCTGAGCAGAAAGACCAAGGTGGATCAGAAGGAGAACAGCGGGAGGAAATCATCCTGTCTGATGCAGACAGACTGAATGCTAGCCATAAGTAATTTTTGCTCAGTGGAAAGGTTTCCAGAGGGAAATTCTTCAGATGAGGATCTGCTGACAGGCAACAGAGCCAACTCGTGCTTTTTTCCCTCCTCTAAGCCATGGCCCCTCCTTCCTTTCCCATTAATAATGTGCGGATTCTACTCTTTTTTTGTGCGTTTATGTGCAGTGTTTTGTGCCACTCTTTTGAGAGCCCATGGTCGCATTCATGCTGGAGATGGTTGTTCATAGACTCATAGAATGGTTTGGGTTGGAAGGGATCTGAAAGATCATCTAGTTCGAGCCCCGCTGCCATGGACAGGGACACCCTCCACTACACCAGGTTGCTCAAAGCCTCATCCAACCTGGCCTTGAACACTTCCAGGGACGGGGCAGCCACAGCTTCTCTGGGCAACCTGTTCCAGTGCCTCACCACCCTCACAGTGAAGGATTTCTTTCTTATATCTAATCAAAATCTCCCCTCTTTCAGTTTAAAGCCATTATGCCTTGTTCTATCACTACACACCCTTGCAAAAAGTCCTTCTCCAGCTTTCTTATAGGTCCTCTTTAGGTACTGGAAGGCTGCTACAAGGTGTCCCCGGAGTCTTCTCCAGGCTGAACAACCCCACCTCTCTCAGCCTGTCTTCATAGCAGAGGTGCTCCAGCCCTTGGATCTTCTTCGTGGCCTCCTCTGGGCTCGCTCCAACAGCTCCATGTCGTTCTTGTGTTGGGGACCCCAGAGCTGAACGCAGCACTGCAGGGGGGTGTCACGAGAGCAGAGCAGAGGGGCAGAATGCCCTCCCTTGACCTGCTGCCCACGCTGCTTTGGATGCAGCCCAGGATACAGTTGCCTTTCTGGGCTGCCAGCGCACGTTGCTGGCTCCTGTTGAGCTTCTCATCCACCAGCACTCCCAAGTCTTCCTCCTCAGGGCTGCTCTCAATCCATTCTCCACCCAGACTATACTTGTGCTTGGGATTGCCCCAACCCATGGGCAGGACCTTGCACTTGGCCTTGTTGAACTTTGAAGTTCGCATGGGCCCACCTCTCCAGCCTTTCAAGGTCCCTCTGGATGCCATCCCTTCCCTCTAGTGTGTTGACCAGACTGCACAGCTTGATGCTGCCAGCAAACTCGCTGAGGGTGCACTTGATCCCGCTGTCCGTGTCACTGACAGAGGTGTTAAACAGTGCTGGTCCCAGTACTGACCCCTGAGGAGCACCACTCGTCACTGATCTCCACTGCGGTCAAGCCGTTGACTGCAACTCTGAGTGCGACCATCCACCCAATTCCATATCCACCAAGTGGTCCATCCATCAGATTGTTGGTATGCTCCGTGCTGATGCACAAGCATCCATGCGTTTGCACATGTGTGTCCTTACACTTTGCTGTGCAGATCTGCAGCGTTAGCCAATGGCCCCAGCAGCGTGTGGACCGTGAATATCCTCAAAATGGCAAATATTCAGTGCTGGAAAAAGTGTTACTGTTTGATATTTTTTATTCTGCTGAGCCATCAGGAGTTTGAGCGACGCTGGGATAGCAGTAGCCTTTCTGACAGGTAAGGCTATGCAGAGCTGGAAGCGACAGTGATGGGCTTCAAAAGCCAGGGAGGAGTAAAAATAGTGGATGGAATAAGATGCCTTTTCCTGCTGCTCTGTGCCACCAGGGCAGGTGAACATCGCTATGTCGCTTGTGTTGAAAAAATTTTTTGACAAACTGCAGTTCTTTCCCTGAAAGAATTGTTGGCATATCATCACAGACATTGGTGTGTGGGGAGCTGGGCAGATAATAACTAAATGGTGGGTAAATCGCTCCTCAGCCGTTGCTTTTAGGAAGTGTCCAACGTAGAGAAGTATTAATCGGGAAGGGCAGGAAAGGCAGCACATCAAATGTAAAAATAGCTGCGAGGTGCTCTCTCTGCATTCAGGATTTTTTGAATTTTCTGATTAAAGTTTCACATGAAAATATGCAGGCGGTAGATAAGCAAGTTATTTGCAAGAGAACGGAAGGTGCTATTATGCCTGAAATCAGATTGCTGCTGCGGCAGCGCTTCTGAACGCCTCCGTGGAGCGTTTGCTGGTGGCCTGTGATGAGCTGCTGGTACCGTGGTCCTGCCTGTTCCCCGCTTCTGGGGCTGTGTGGGGGCCTTGGAGGACAGCTGAAGCACTTGGCATGGAAAAACGGTGTTGGGCAGATGGGAGATGCATTTGCCGTTGGGTTGCTGGACCATCACAAATGCAGGGAGAGGAGCAGCGGTCCCCACGACCATGTCTGAATGAGTCTGTGGACCCATGGTGTGTGAAGAAGGTGGAAAGAGACTTGCTGCGAGGTGGGTCATCATCAGACTGTTACCGTGCTTCACAGTCAAAAAGCCATTTCCAGTAATTTTGGCTTTCTGCTCCAGCATTGGGCTCTGGAGGGAAATTTTCATTTTTAGACTCCAGTGAGGATGTCCGGTACTTTTTGTCAATAGTTTATTTCCAAACTTCTTAATTTTCTGAAAAACCATTGCGCGTTCCAGTCCTTTAGTGAATGATCTCCAGTTCCTGAGCTCGTAGGAAAAGGGATAAATAAATAGACTGTGTTTTAGTGTTCAGTCTTCTTGATAAGCATGTCACTAAAGAGCACGGTGAGGAAGCATTAATGTTGGCACTCAAGGTACTGTGATCTGCATCTAAACAACGTGAAATTTGAAATTTCTCCTAATTTTTATCTATGCTAGTGTTGAATATTGATTGAATTTCACTTGGCTACCTTTTACAAAACAAAGGCAGGCAGTACATGGCATTCTCAATCGTATGAAGAATTATTTTTTTTTAAAGTGCCACTAATGAGAAGTGTGTTTGCTTCACAGAATAGAATTATTTTGTCAAATCTTCATTCAGTCTCCTTGTTCCCACAATAGGCCTTTATGCTTCTTCATATTTTGTTCCGTGTTGCTGCTAGGAAACCACTCATCCACATCTGAGAAGCACAATTAAGTGTCCCTGGTACAACATAGCTTCCATTACATGCCAATATAAAGAAGGCATTGAAAGGATTCGTAAAATAAGGTCCGAGGCTGGCAAGGATATTCAGGATGGGAACTTCATGTCTAAGAATCCACTGGTACATTGAGTGGCACGTGTCTCCTCAATGAGGAGGCACCAGCTGTTAAAGCATGCTATTTCCAGCAAGCTCAGGGACCACAAATGAGGGATCTTCTCTTTTGTGTACTTTTTCCCTTCTTATATTGTTCATTTTCCCATGCACAGCTCCAGATGAATGCATCTTCCGGTTCATTGGTAGAACAACTTCTAAAGAGCACCTGCCTTCCGGGAAAAGTTATTATATCCATTCTTCTAGCTACAGTGAATATTGTGTCAGATAACTGCTTGTGTTGGTTTTGTTGTTGTTTGTTGGGGTTTTTTGTTGGGTTTGTTTGTTTGTTTGTGGGTTTTTTTTTAAGTTTTGTGTGTACCTCCTCTACTTCTTTATGAATAAAGGTCTTAAAGTATGTCAGCGTTAGCATAGTTTGAATTGGGACCAATCTTTTGAAGTAAATCTCCCGTGCGTCACCACTGTCATAGCTTGGTTTGTGTCTCGAGCAGGCTCAGAGTGTATGAGCTGGTCTGTTCTGGGCATGGCACAAACCAGATGTAGTTTTAGGGATGTGCTGATTTGCTTGAGCCACAACTCGGTGGCATTCAGCGTGTAAATCCAGGCTGATGCTATGCTAAAATGTGTTGGGGTGCACTCCCCAAACCACTTGGAGCATGGGCATCATGTGCTTAGCACCAGCCGTTTTACAGTGCAGGTACGCTTCTGCTATTAATGACGTTTTTTTCTCAAAGGCCTTTTTATTTCTAGAAAAAGCCCCAAAAGCACCACAAGCTCTGCTTTATTTGCAAAAGTAGTCTTCTCTCAAGAGTTTTGAGTGTGACTGAAACATGTTAGCAAGCCCGAAACTATTCCAAATACCATCTTTTCCCTACCAGTTCTGATATTCTTAGTGCTATCAAACAACAAGAGAGGAAGATAAAGGAATTTTTGAGGCTGGAAAGCAGTGTCTGATCATAATTTCATACCGAGCATCAATCCTGGAGCCCACACGCGCTCCGTTTTGACACACAGTTCTATTTTTGGCTGCCTTCTGTATCACAAAGAAACCAAAGAGTACCAAATGTGTTTTCAGATGGACTTTAATTGTTGATGTATCTCAGTTTGGCAACTAAAGGACTTAATTGCTGTCGAATCCCTTTCTCTGGCTTCATTCAACATTGCATCTTTTCCCCTCCCTCTGCTCAACAGCTTGCAAGTGCAATGGCCACGCGTCTGTCTGCAACACGAATACAGGGAAATGTTTCTGCACCACCAAGGGAATAAAAGGAGACGAGTGTCAACTGTGAGTTCGTTTCCCTTTGTTATTTGAAATCAAAAGGCTGTACACATAAGCGGTATGGAAGCCCTACATTTTTTAATGACTGTGTTTACGATGTCTCTGCTTCCTGCTGACAGTTGACTAACTTCACTGAGGGTGCAGCCTTACCCTGGGGGGTTAACAGGAACGAAACCATTTCCTGAAGATTGCCAGTTTTAAGAACATTTCAAGTGGGAATGTCATGCAGAAGGGATGGGGTGAAAAAATAATGCCCCCACCCGCCAAACTGTGCATAACACTTTGCTTTATCCCTCCAAAATTTCTTGTTAATTGGTAGATTTTTACTGTCTGTACACTCTGATTCTGTTCTAGGGGAGTGTAAATATATCTGAAATAAGACTTTGACGTTCAAGCATTTTAATAGAGCAGTTTCGGAGCAAGAAATTTGCTGGAGGTTTCTCTGTAACATAACAGAGATGCTTTTAGTGTAATGTTAGTGGAGATAATTTCATTCCAAATAATTTCATTGCCAGGTTTATATTTAAAGTGTTGCTTACACGAGTAAACATTTATTGGTCTAGATCCTGGAACAGCTGTAAATGGAAATGGAAACTTTAGTTTTTGACTGTAGTAATCCAGTTCTATGCGTTGTAAAGAGCTAATAAATACATTCCAAGTGGATGCAAAGGTTAATATCTGGAACTTTATATGCCGTTTTTACTGCATACTAGTTTGACTTGCAGGGATCGTAGAATTTCTTCAGCAGCCCAGTATAGCTCAGACGTGTGTCTTTTATTTTTAGTTGTGTACTGTTATCGACAAAGGTGATCTTTTCTGATTTTTAGTGGCTGGGAATAAATAAATTGAAAAAAAATATATTTATTAAAAGCTATGTATTCTTTTTAGGTGTGAAGTCGAAAATAGATATCAGGGAAATCCACTTAAAGGAACATGTTACTGTAAGTACTCTTGGGATTTTGTTTGGGAGATAAAAATTGTGTTTGAAGCTTAAAGTATCTTATTTAAAACTAGTTTTAATTGCCTTAGCATCTGTTTAAAATACAAGGGATTATTTAAAATACAAGGCAAGGACTAAAAACTAGTTTTATAAACTTCAGTTTTCACAAAAGTATTGTTTAAAGAGAACCTAAATATGGTCTGTGTAATGATTGGATCTTCCAGAACAAACTTTTGAATGTTTTTGTTGTGACTTTGAAATGAAATCTGGTCTTCTGGAGAATACTCTAAAGTATATACCTAATAAGTCAAAACCAAAGCATATCTTTTGAAATTTTTTTAATGTGAAATAATACTTTTTTTTTTTTTTTAAATTCTATGTTAGAATGGGTGAGGTTTCAAAATTGCCACATTTTCTCTGAAATGAACAGTTGGATTCTCTTGCAATTCAAGAAGATACTTGATCTGCCAAGATTCAGATTACTTAATGGAAACTCTCCAGCTTCTATTTGCAAATATTAGCAATCAGCACATTGGCAAGCACGGATAGATGTAATCTTAAATTACAGAAACATGCAAGTCTCAAATATTATTTTTGTGCAACACAGAAATTATCAACATGCTGTTTTTAGCAAATATGAATTCTGCTTGCGTAGCCAAACAAGGGCACTGATGGCTTCTCATGACAGTCTCTTTGCAAGGATGACCTAATTCATCACTGCCAGCGGCAGGGCTGGTAAAGTGGCCAAAAAGGGGAAAAACCCACAACTTTACAGCTCTTCCAGGAGCAACCTCATGCTATACAGTTTCAGTCTCACTTGGTTTTCTTCCTTGAAAATTTCTGTCTTAGTGCTTCATAGGAGTTGTGGGTAGATGTCAGAAGGTTGTCTAGCTTATATCTATCCAACAAGAGGTCTCCAGGAGAAAATGAGAGAAGAATAACACCTGATGTATAGCTTCATGTGTAGTATTGCTTGGAATATCTCTGCATGGGTTTAGGAATATGTACAAGTCTTAATACTGCGCTTTAAGAAAAGGATACTGAAACTAGTGGATGTATCTCCAGAACTGGCTGTGCGCTGTTAATTAACAGAGAGATGATACCCCAGCCCTAGGCAGTCATGAGCTTAGGAGGGTATACAGATTGACCAAAAACTGGTCCTGGCATGCCTGGACGTGATGTGACCCAGAATAGGATGGCAGCTGGGTCCATTAACAAGTAGCTGCTCCGTAGAAATCCTCCCTGTACAGTCCACTGAGGTACAGAAACTTATCATGCATGCAACTTAGTCCCCTCCTAAGCGGGGATTACAGGGTCTGTTTTATTTTGCTAGTGTTCCCTTAGCACATGGAGGTATTGCAGCATGGAATTTTTAACAGCATGGTGACTCCTAGTTGTGCTCGCAGTACAAGGAACACTTCAGCAACATCATGCCTTGCTTTGCAGAAGTTTGGTTTATTCTGAGACGGGATAACTTTCTCCGTGCATTCCTTGCAGATACTCTTCTCATTGACTATCAGTTCACCTTCAGCCTTTCTCAAGAGGACGATCGCTATTACACAGCAATCAACTTTGTAGCAACACCCGAAGAGGTAAATTTACTACTTTCTCTTTAAACTTCGTCCTTTGGGTATATGTTTGTCGTCTCTTGGTCATGGAGGCAGTGAATTGTTGCAGTTCTGTGAGTCTCTAGATGTAGTCTCTTAACATGGCATGTATCTCCAGCTCCACAAAGCAATCAGAACTTTTTGAGCTTGGCGTGGCCATGCAGTTTCAAATTTTTGTGGTAAAATTTCATAAGGAACCACAGTTGATTCCTTACAGTTGTTTGAACAGCTGCTGAGCAACTCTAGTTTTGCTTGCTTTTCACCCAGTAAGTTGTGTCTCTATTCTTCCTGGTTTATTCTATGCATGTGACTTATTTTGTTCTTTGTTATGCTTTCCTTGGGGAGGAGAATACTGCTTTCAGAAATGTAAATAGTTTTTTGCTTGATGTATTTGCGTCATGTAGAATCACAGAATGGTTTGGGGTGGAAGGAACCTTCAAGATCATCTAGTTCCAGCCCCCCTGCCATGGGCAGGGACACCTTCCACTACACCAGGTTGCTCAAAGCCCCATCCAACCTGGCCTTAAACACTTCCAGGGATGGGGCAGCCACAGCTTCTCTGGGCAACCTGGTCCGGTGCCTCACCACTGTGTATTATGTAAATCATTATTACGTAAATAAAAAATTCCAAGATTTTTTTGTTGTTGTTGTGAAGATTTGCTAAGAAACAGTACAGTAAAATTGTTCCTAAAAATGAGTTTTCTTTTTTTTTTTTTCCCCCAAGCAAAACAGAGACCTGGACATGTTTATCAATGCATCCAAAAACTTCAACCTCAACATAACTTGGTCCACAAGTTTTGCAGGTAAAATGAGCATGATCTAAGTTTCTTGGTAGCTTGTTTCAGTTACCAGTTTTCAACAAATGCAAATTTAATTGGGGAATCTTTTTTTTTTAACCTGTGATCTTGTTCTGTATTGGTTTTAAATGTTAGGCCTGGGGGGCAGAAGTAAAATATTACAAAGAACTATGTTTTTCTATCTTAATAGTGTATTTTGGAAACATCAAAGGTGCAAATTTGATTTTTAGTATTGCAGTAGTTTGGTATACAGTGATTTTTGATAATGCAATGCAGCTTGAAATAGTCGCGTTCAGATGAATAGTTTTCTAACATTAAAATTCAGGATGCTTCGCCGTTTTTGTTTACCCCTTAAAATGTGCATTGAAATGTCTTTTCTTGCTACTTTTTAACGTTTGAAAACAGCTGGCACGCAGGCTGGGGAGGAAATTCCAGTTGTTTCAAGAACCAATATAAAAGAATACAAGGACAGTTTCTCCAATGAGAAATTTGATTTCCGCAACAATCCAAACATCACTTTCTTCGTTTACGTCAGCAACTTCACCTGGCCGATAAAAATACAGGTAGGAGCTGTTAATTTGGGTATAATTATTTAGAAGTACTTTTTTCTTCCTCTCGAGCAATGTGACAATTCAGTGTGATTTGTTTTGTCCAAGCTGAACCAGCTCTCGATATAATCCTGCAGCGGACAAAGGTTTTGATGTTCCTGATTGAGAGCAAGAAGGTGCATCATCTGCTGATGTTGCCTCAACCCAGTGGATCTGAAAACGCGCTGTGAAATCAAGTGGGATGCTCGCTTAGTAACAGGGCTGTGTTCTAACGAGGTCTCTGACTTTAAACGTGTAGGTATTGATGTTGAAGAAAACAACGACTCATATAGCCAATAACCAAGCCCATAGGAAAAAATGGAAATGTTACTGTCGCTTTTTAACGTCTTGTTCTCAAAAGGCCCAGCTCGAGGGCCATCCTCCTTTCTGCTCGTGCTGCCCAAGAGTGGTGGTACCTGCAGAATAAGATGAAGCTCATTCTTCCCCCTAATTCAGTGCAGTCAGTTAACACATGCATTGCCTCAGGTGTCAGACTGACTGTGATGTGCTGTGGAGCAGTGGATGAAGCTTGATGAATCATGAAAACACTCATAGATCACAGGCTGCAATCACAGAGGCTCTGCCAGCTGCTCGACAGCTAATAATTCAGAGAAACCTGGGCCACCTTCTTGCTCTGGGCTAAGTCAAGTATCAACCTGCAGTGTAGTCAGAGTGATGTGGGCATCTTTTGAAGGACAAAAGTAGTTCCTAGGTTTGAAACAGAGATCTCACATGAGGCTCTGTATATTTGAGTTCTGCGTTTTTTAAGAAGCGTGGTCAAATATGGGAACCCGAATTCTTCCATCTTCACCCTTACTCAACCAATTATTATGTGAAAGCTGAAACTTCAAATTAATTTGCTTGATATTTCAGACATATCAGTCTCACAAACTCACCATAGGGGTCACTTCTAACAAAGATAATGCACATGATAATATTGAGCAAGGAGATGTGGTCCACTTGGAAAAAGGTCCTTAAGCTGTAGTGATATTTTTCAAGGTATTTCCTGAACTTTTTAAGAAATACTAAGAATACTTGGGAAACGTCTGCATCACCTTCTGGTAAAGACGGTGGGGTTTAGGTACTCGGGAAACTTTGTTGATTGCAGACTGGTGGATTCGATAGGCTGACTTTGGACTGCGTTTTGGTTCTTTTCAATATCCCTTACGATATTGCTGCTCACTTTCCAGCTGGAGAGTTTTTACTTTATAAATTGGTAAAGTCTTAGTTCATTGTCAGGTCTTAGTTTTTAGATATGGAGGAGTTTGCAAGAGCTGCAAGGTAAAACCTTTCTGTCATCAGATACTCAAGCAGCAAGTACTAAGCCTCATTGTTTTCGTTTAAGATGAGTACTGGTTTCAGTAGAGAAAGTAAGTCCTGCATACAAAGGTGGGCAGTTGCCTAATGATTTATTTAAATCTTCAGGCTTCTCTTTTATCAAATTGGTAATCACAAGAGTCAGGAAAAAAAAAAATCCATATTTTATTTTTTAATGTACAGGTTATATGCTGGCTGATTGTTTACTTTCCGTAATCAGTGCTGGACTGTACCTTACCATGAATTATTTATTTGCTGTTTCTTGATGCAGAACTGTGCATTAGGATGTTGTAGATGTTTAAGAACAATGCTGTCTCCTGTCCCTGAAGCTCTCCTGTGTTTATTCCAGTCTCCAACCTACCTGTACTTCCAGTGAATTTCTGCGAGCTTTTCCTATGCCAGTGTTGTCATTGAGCTTAAAGGTCCCCTTCACCTTCTTTTGGCAGCTGAGCCTCCTGCTTTCCTTAGGTGAATTTGGACAGGTCATATCCTCTCTCAGCTTTAAATGTTTGTTTGTTGGCTTAAGCAAGACAAACCCTCGTCATCTTGTCCTGTGAAACAGCTTATCCAGGTTCAATTGCCTCGTTTTCTTTTTCCTCTGCACTCCCTTGTATTAATCCGGCTTGTACAGTTTTGGTCAGCCGTGTATAAGGTCATGGAGATCAGGTCTCACCATTGCCTTGTACAGCGCTATCTCTAGGTTCTTTATGGACCTTTCTAGGTGCTTTTATGGCAGTGTTTTGCTTTGTTAATTCTCATGGCTGCAGCAATTAATAGTCCTTATTCATTTTAATGTGGACTTACATACGCTGTTCTTTCACATCCTTGGTTTCCAGCTGATGAGCTCCCAGACTTGATAGTGAACGTTCTTCTCAGTCCTTAATAGCATCGTAAAATATTATCCCACTGCTGTTACTGGGCAATATTGCCAGTCCTGAAGATCATCTAGGTGGTGTTCTGTGTTATTCTTTTCTGTATTTCGATCGATGATCTCTTTCAACTATGTCAGCAGATTGTGCCGTTAGGACGCTGTCTTCTCGGGTTTATGTCGTTAATTAAGATATCAGTCAAACTTTGTCCAAATGCCGTCCCTGAACTAGCTTCTGGCCTCCTTAACTGCTGTGATTCTTGAAATAATCTTCACCATCTTTATCTCACCCAGGAATTTCCAATGTATTGAAATCCATAATGAAATTTGGATTAGCTCAGCTGTACTTTCTAGGTCCATACAATTATTTTTACAGACAGAAAATACTGGGCTGGCATAGCACAGATTACTGTTGTCAGCTCTATTGCTTGTTGAATTCAGTTTTCCTTTTACATCTTCATTTCTTTTATTCAAAACTTGTCCTGAAACTTTGCAGACTATCGAGATCTCGGGAGCATGAATATCTAGGTTCTCCCTCCTCCTCTGAATACAAGTTTTAAATTTTTCATAATGCCACGCTTGGCTAGTAGATTACTTTAACATCCTTGCTACCAGAGGTGTGATTTCACGTGCCATTTCTTTCGGAGTGCTGGGATACATGCCGTCTGCTTTCGCTGGCTTTGAACACATGGAAATGTTGGAGTTTTGTCTCCACCTTGGTTATGTATATCTTTATAACCTCGTTCCCATTACACACTTTGCCTTGCGCCTATGTTCAGTGTCCTCGTCCTTAATGCAGGCTCTAATTTAGTTTTAGAGATGTAGCTGATTGGTTTTGATATCTTGCCTATCCTTACAGCGTACCCTCTTCCCTTTCCCTTTACGGTCTCCTTTACTTATATGGCTGAAACATCTCTTGTTATTTTGCTCATCATTCGCTGAGGTCTAGGACAGCTTGATGTTTGGCAGTTCTCATTTTATCTCTGTACTACTTGCTGGCTTCTAAGACATTGCTAATGAATCCTTTCCTCTCCATAATACATAGACTCTTTTAATTGTTCCGAATGTCCTTTTTGAGGTTAGTTCTGAGGATACAACTTGCAAAGAGTTTTGCGTCTTTGACCTGGGAAAAATACTTAGATGGCTGTTTTCCAGTTCCTTATCTCCTTAGTCCACTTGATTTTGCTATCTTACTTAATTTCTCATTGTCGAAAAGAACAAACTTTGATTTTCTAGCAACACTTACGTTGTTTTATCCTTAATATAATGTGCATTTGCTTGTGTGCACTCAATCTAAGATAATTTTATGTCACCAGCTCTTCTTAATGTCCTTGTTACTTGCCAAAACAAAGTCTGGAACAGCATCAGCTCTTTCTAGTTGAGACCCTTTTTGTGAAGCAGTCTTGCAGCGACATTGTGTCCAGGAATACGTGCCCCTTAAGATTTCTATTGGCTTGCTCTTAGGTTCATAGCTAGGAAACCTTTTCCCCCAATTTGATGTTTTTCTGTCATCATTTTTCTCCTAATACCTATCGGTGTTGAATGTCTCGGTCCTTTCTCGTGTTTGCAGTAGCAGTTCTTCATTACTTTGATATGGCTTTGTTGTCCTTCTCCAGGAAGTCCACCTGCACCTCCTTTCACTGGAGATCCCACTGTAACTCAACAGGACATTCCTCCCTTTTTTCTCTCAGCAACTTGGCAGTGTTGCTCATCTGGGCGTGAGATAAAACCAGTTTTCTTCTGCATCCTTTAACAACCTTTGGAGACTCAATTCTGTATTTTACGTTCCTAAATTTGACAAACAGCACTGTCGTCTTCACAGAATCCCAGAGTGGCTGAGGTTGGAAGGCACCTCTGGAGGTCACCTGGTCCAACCTCCTGCTCAAACAGGGCCACCTTAAGCCAGTTGCCCAGGACCATGTCCAGACAGCTTTTGAATATCTCCAAGGGTGAAGGCTCCACAACCTCTCTGGGCAACCCGGTCCAGTGTTTGGTCACCCTCACGGTCAGAAAGTGTTTCCTGATGTTCAGACAGACCCTCCTGTGTTTCAGTTTGTGCCCATTGGCCCCTGTCCTCTAACTGGGCACCACTGGAGAGAGCCTGGCTCTGTCCTCTTTGCACCCTCCCTTCAGGTATTTATATACTTTGAGATGCACCCTGAGCCTTCTCGTCTCCAGGCGGCACAGTCCCAGCTCTCCTAGCCTTTCCTTGTAGGAGAGATGCTTCAGTCCCTTCATCATCTTTGTGGCCCTTTGTTGGACGCTGTCTTGTATGTCCATGTCTCTCTTGTACTGGGGAGCCCACAACTGGACCCAGTGCTCCAGGCATGGCCTTGCCAGTGCTGAGTAGATGGGGAAGGATCACCTCCCTCGACCTGCTGGCAATACTTTGTCTAATGCAGCTGTTGCATGGTGAGCAAATGCCATTGGTTGTCTTTGTGACAAGGGCATGTTGCTGGCTCATGTTCAGTTTGATATCCCCTAGGACACCCAAGTCCTTTCCCACCGGGCTGTTTTCCACCTGGGTGTCCCGCAGCACGTACTAGTGCCTGAGATTGTTTCTCTCCAGGGACAAGACTTTGCACTTCCCTTTGTTGAAGTTCATGAAGTTCCCTTTGGCCCATTTGTCCAGCCTGTCAGGTCCCTCTGAATTGCAGCACGACCCTCTGGTGTATCAGTCACTCCTCCCGGTTTGGTGTCTCCTGCACACTTGCTGGGGGGTACACTCTGCCGCATCATCCGGATCATTAATGAAGGTGTTAAATAGGATCAGACCAAATATTGACCCCTG